GAGATTTGTGATGGGGTACGACCCATGAGAAGTGACGATTCAATAGATTATGTGTCTCTTGGATCCGAATCCATTTCGTATGTTAAGGTTTGCAAGGATCCATGACCCGCATCAGACTCTTAGACGTAGGAGAGGATGGGGAAAAGGGATGCCTTGATCAGGTTTCCGATTCGTGATAGTTTGAGTTGTTAGACTTAAGCAACATGTTTCCATATAGTGTGGAGTTGTGAACTCAAGTTTTATCCCTTCCTTTTTGACTTGAGCTAGGATTGGTTAGAACCTTTTAAAGCTGAGAGAATCCATTAGATAGGGAACCCATTGAGATTATCATCTCACCCCATGTTGTTGATTGTATTTCAGGTGGTTCAGGTTCCGTGAAGGGTAAGGACAAAGTCGTTTGATGTCCTTACTTGTCTTATCATTTTGGATGCCATTGTTTCTGTTGTGAAGACTCTACTTTGAGATCATTTGATATGATCTAGTTCTTAGTCATTTTGGAGCATCTTGTGTATATTATGCCAATGTTTTTAGATTTTATGTTTTACCATGTAACGTAGAAACTTATTTGTATTTCAGTACCAAACTTACAAACATGTATAATATGTATTATTCTAGACATATGTATTTATATACGGGTGTTACAGTTGCTGGGTTTTGAACCAATGACCTAAATATGTATAACAACGGTTGTTTAAGATAGCCGTTGTGATATTTAGCGTGCTACTTAGTTTATCACTACATTCTCACGCTCGTGGTGGGAAGCAACATGCATACAATCATACGCTACCTAACAACGGACGTACAAACTTCATTATATGTATTTTGCAACCGTAGTCATTTGTGTTTTTTTAGTAATGAGGTTATTACAAGAGTTAGTTCAGGTTTGTTCAGTCCAAGTTTCTGCTAAAGTTGCTTGACATAAAGATTTGGTTATTAGACACTTGTTGAGTAAGATGTCAAAAACATGTTTTGTGACATCTTGGCATGCGTGTTTCAGATTATTACAAGAGTTGGTTCAGGCTTGTTTAGTCCAAGTTTCTAGTAAGTTGCTTGCCATAAAGATTTGGTTGTGCATAACTTGTTGAGCAAGATGTCTAGAACATGTTGTCTGATATCTTAGTGGTGGACGTCTCCAATGAGCGAAAAGGAGGTATACCTGCAAGACTTGCACTCCAACGTTCAAGTTAGTAAAGTCATATAGGGGTGTTCAAAACTGAAATAGCCCAATAGAGAACTGCAAATCAAATCGAACCAAACTGAAAACCGCAAAAACCACATTTGGTTTGGATGTGTTTGGACCATTTTTTTTAATAAAACTGCACGATTCAGTTTGGTTTGTGGTTTATATCATGTAAATCGAACCAAATCGCATTATATAACAACCCAAACATCACTTAACCAACATCCAACTCAAACCCAAATCTAATATGTCTTAGTCATACGATTACAGACGATTTTATCTTCCACACACTTAGGGTTTTAGTTTCAGCCTTCTCAAATCTCTCCTAGCAGTATCGCGTCTTCTTGGCTAGGTACATTTCGTCTCTTCTTATCTAATATTCACTCTCTTAAATTCTTTCTTTTCCATCTTCTCATTTTTATGCTACTTTCTCTTTCAATTTCATTTTTATCGCACATCTTCTTCTCTGATCTCTCATTTCTTTTGTTTTTTTTTTCTTTTCATTTTCATCTTCACTAGTATATCATCTTCTTTATTTTCTTTTTGTTTTATTATAATATTTTTTATATTGTTTTATGTTTATTATTACACTAATCTCTAATCTGATTTGTACATATTAAATGAGAAGTTGTTGTCTAAATATGACGATTTTTATTATTATTTTGTAATCTACGAATGATTAAACACAAACTTATATTGTTCTTTATATGTGTACGAAACTCAATAATTTTTTTTAAAAGAAACGGAAACAATCCGCTTTAGTTTGCTTTATTTTTATTTCTAAAAGGTAATCAAACCATGTACTTTTTTGAGATGAACAGATTTTCCTAGTAAGAGTAAATGTTTATCACTTCGATAATGTTTGAGATGAGCTCGATCTTATTGGTCTATTTGGCCGGTTAGTTGAACATTTCTTGATACTAAGACCAACTCCAATGGGAGTTCTTAGAGTGGGTTTGCCAACATGACACTCATATTTGTTGTTTTCAAGATGGAAAAGTTCTTAAATATGCAACGGTTCTTCAATGATTCTTATATTAAAATATTAATTTTATAATATAAAAACTATAATTTGATATAAAATTTTATTTATTATTTTAATTATCATTTTAATTAAAATTTAAATATTTAAATTATAATTTTAAATAAAATAAATTTAATATAAATAATATTTTTTAAGTAAAGTGGTGAGACTCAATATGAATTCTTTAGAGTTGCACCATTGAAGTGAAAATTGAATGAGTTGCTTTAAAAGAGTGAGTCCCACAAAGAACCTAAAAATGGGTTGCACCATTGGAGATGCTCTAATAAGCTAAAAATACAATTACTGTAATATGTTTTGAATTACAACTTATATTATGTTAAAAATATTTTTGCCTATGTAATATTTTGTGTATGCATTGTGCTTCTGTTTGTTTATGAAAAATCTATAAGCATGTGAATTACTCCTTCCATTCCAAAATAAAATATAAGAGAAAGTAAAAATCATATTTATTAAAAAAACATAATAATTTGATTTGTAGTTTTTTTTTTTAAAGTATACTATTGTAAAAACAATTCTAATTGTTTACTGGATATGAAAAAAGAAGAGAGGGTAAATTAAATGTATTTTGCATTTAGTTTTACCTATAAAAAAAATAGTAAAAGTTGATTATTTTCTTATATTGGGTTCAAATATAAATAACAACAAAAATTTCGATTATTTTAAATATAAATAATAATCATTTATAATTATTACATTCAATATCATTATTTTAAATATATCGATGTTTTTGTTTGTAGTTTGTGTCTTTATGGTCCCTACATTGTTCAAACCGTGATGTCTGATGGACTTCATTTGGGCCCTTTCTTTGCTGCATTGACTTGCTATGTCAAAAATTATTCATTGATTTTTTATAAAAAGAGAAATGCTATTATACACGTTTTTTAAGATAAAGTAATATCAATAATATAAAATAAAAAATAAAAATAAATCAATGATTCAAATAAATACAAAATAGAAAAGAAAAATTTATTAGACTTTGGTCTAACTCTTTTTTATAAATCCGATTTATAAGTGTTATTTTATATAAATTCTTTTAAGGTTCTATCTCTAATCAATATAAAACTTATGATTTTTTCAATATATTTCTCACGCCCAACTTTCGTTTGAAGTTGATGCTTGCGACTCATGATTTGATCCATAAACTCTAATATCATATTAAAATTTGATTTAATTCATTCTTAAAAAACCGACTTAAAAACCAGCATGAAAGGTAAAGAATATCACTTTATATAAATTCTTTTAATATTTTATCTCCAACCAAAGTGAGAGTTGAGATATTTGCAATACAGCTCATAACGTCCAAAACTTTTTTGGACTTGATACATATATTTAAACCGTTGGCGGTTCAAAGTTTGATTAATAAACTCTGATATGATATTAAAATTTTATTTTAATCTATCTTTACACAATCAATTTGTAAAATAAAGAGTGACATTCTATATAAACTCTTTAAAATTCTATCTCTAATTATGTTAGACATGAAATTTTCCAAATAAAAACTAAAAACTAAAAAAAAAACATTCTATATCAAATCTTCTCCATAACAATTATCCTATAAGAATTACACTTAAAAAAATAAAAATACACCGGACAAAAACCATTAAAAAAAAATAAAGAATCTCAAATATTATCCGTATTGATTAACTAGAAGAAATTCTTATTACCAAAATTATTTACGAGAGCCACTTTGGTCCATTATTTTTTATCCACTTTAAAAAGTTGAATATTGTCACTCATAAATTAAAATGCATTAATTTTTTTAAAAAAATTTAATAAATAATTAGAAAATATCTTTAAAATAAAAAGACATAGTAACTAAGATAATGTTATTCAGTTTTTTGTTTTATACTAAACGTATTGGACACATAAACACATGATATGATAAGTGTCTGTTAGGTCACAATCTTATTTTATTTTATACAATTTTCTATTCTATTTTTTCATTAGACTATCACGCGCATCAAAAGACTTCTTAATGTGTCATATTTATGATAATTTTTTCATTTAAATACTACAAATTTTTCTATAAATTCATCATTTTTAAAGTTTAAAAAAAAATAAAGATTAAATACTTTATCAGTAAAAATATTCATATATTTAATATTTTAAGATTTTAGATAAATATATGATATGATATGTTACTTTTGATATAATAGAAATACTCATCTTAATGATCTATCGAAATTGATATATATATATATATATATATATATATATATATATATATATATATATATATATATATAAAGATTAAATCAATGTCAAATTAAATATTATGAAAATTAGCGTCTTACAAAACTTTATTAAAATGGTTAATTAATACACCTCTTTAACGAATCAAATGATTTCAATTAATGTTAAATTTTACAAACATAACCTATATGATAATAATTTTTAATTTATCAATGAATTTTATTATACAGATAAAAAAATAAAATAATCAGAAAATGTTATAATATTAAGTTTGACGCCGTGCAATAATATATATATATATATATATATATATATATATATATATATATATATATATATATATATATATATATATATATATATATATATATATATATATATATATATATATATATATATATATATATATATATATATATATATATATATATATATATATATATATATATATATATATATATATATATATATATATATATATATATATATATATATATATATATATATATATATATATATATATATATATATATGGCTGAGTACTAAGTTTTCATTTACAAGGCTTCTCCCATCTTGTCTATTATGGGCAACCCACATTTTCTTGCAATACCATTCCCAATTCAAGGACACATAAACCCTCTTATGCAATTCTCTCATATTTTAGCCAAACATGGTTGCAAAATCACCTTCTTGACTTCAGATGAGAATTACACCAAAATGAAAGGGAAACTCATGGAATCACAAATAAATCTAGTGTCTCTCCCAGATGGTGTGAATCCTCAAGATGATAGAAAAGATGTTGGCAAAGTGATTTTGTCCACAAGAATCACTATGAGTTGTATGCTTCCAAAACTCATACAAGATATTAATGATCTTGATAGTGACAACAAGATTTCTTGTGTTATTGTTACTAAAAATATGGGATGGGCTTTGGAAATTGCAAGCAAATTGGGAATTAAAGGAGCTCTTTTCTGGCCAGCTTCAGCAACTTCATTGGTCTCTTTTGATTCAATGGAGAGGCTTGTTCATGAAGGAATTATTGATTCTCAAACTGGTAATAAATGCTTTTATTCTTTTATTAAATATCAGAAACATTTCTAGCCATACACTGCATTTTGTCCTCCACCTTCAATTATATGTATTCTTCTTGTCTCATTCAATTATATCTTGCATAATATCTAAATAATGTATTTTAAATTACCACATTTTTTAAGATGCATTAATTAGTTTGTTTTCTCCTAATATATATAATCAAAATGACGTCATCAAAGCTTTTCAAAATGACGTCATTATTTTCAAAACTATATTAGTAAAATGATATTATTAGTTAATTGCAATTTGAAATTTTAGGTCTTCCAAAAAAACAAGAGATTCAACTTTGGACAAATTTACCTATGATGGAAGCAGGTGCCATGCCATGGTACAACTTAAATAGTCCTTTCTTCTTCCTTCATATGATGAAAGAGATGCAAAATATGAATTTAGGAGAATGGTGGCTTTGTAACACTAGTATGGATCTTGAGGGTCAAGCACTTTCCTTATCACCAAAATTTCTACCAATTGGGCCATTAATGGGAAATGAGCATAACAACATTGGGTCTTTGTGGCAAGAAGATGAAACTTGCATAGAATGGTTAGATCAACATCCACCTAAATCAGTCATATATGTTTCATTTGGTAGTTTGATATCAATTGGGCCCAACCAATTCAAAGAATTGGCTCTTGGGCTTGATCTTCTTAAAAGGCCTTTTCTTTGGGTTGTGAGGAAAGATAAGGCCCATAAGAATAATGGGCTAGAATATGAGTACCCTAATGAGTTCAAAGGAAATCAAGGTAAAATTGTTGGTTGGTCACCACAAAAGAAGATTTTGGGCCATTCTTCTATAGCATGTTTTATTACACATTGTGGTTGGAATTCAACAATTGAAAGTGTGTCTAATGGGGTGCCTTTGTTGTGTTGGCCATTTTGTAGTGATCAACTTATGAACAAGACATATATTTGTGATGTTTGGAAAGTTGGATTGGGATTTGAAAAAGATGAAGATGGGTTAATTACAAAGGGGGAGATAAAGAAGAAGGTGGAGGAATTACTTGAAGATGAAGAAATTAGAGAAAGATCTTTGAAGTTAATGGAAATGGTGGTGAAGAACAAAGAAGAAGGGGGTAAGAATTTAACCAAATTTATCTATTGGGCTAAGGAATAGAAATATCCACACTTGTTACATCTAATGAAATACTAAGATTGATCACAAGTTATTGATACATATTTCACATTTTAGTAAGAAGTGACAATGGAGGTGAGTTCATAAATTCATTCTTCAAAACATTCTTTGATGAAAATAGTATTTGTCACCATCTAGCATGATTAAAAATTTCTTAGCAAAATAGAGGTTTTGAAAAGAAAAACACAACTTTGTAGAAAATGTCAAGAACAAAGTTTGAATATGAATTGTTTTGAACAAAAACCCATTGGAACTTTGTAAAAACATAAAACAAATATTTCATACTTTCAAATATTTGGTTGTTATTGTTGCACTCTAAAGAACATAGAATTTTGAAAACATTTGATTGAAAACTAGACAAATCACTTTTCTTGGGATATTCTACTACCTATAATGGGTGTAAATTATACCCTCTAAGAACTCAAACATAGAACATAGCATTAGGGGTGCTCAAATAAACCGGTTATTTAAATAATCTATATCCATATCCAAATTTGATTATTAAAATCCGGTTAATAATTAGTATGGTTTTAACCAAATCCGCATTTTGGATATATTTTTAATATGGTTTTAACCAAATCCATAATTTGGACATCCATATCCAAAATAAAAATCAAATTATTCAACTTTTTTAATTTAAAGATTTTTTTCAAAAAAAAGTTATTTTCTTTTGAAAAAAATTTTAATTTTTTTATAAAAAAAATATTGTTTTAAGTTTTTTCAGTAAATAAAATTTTTTTCCAAAAACTTTTAAAATATATATATTTTTTAATTTTAAAATAACTAATGTTTTTTCAACATCAATATTTTAAAAATTTTAATGTTAATTTAACAAAGAGTTCCAATTCTAAAATTAAATTTTAAAAGCTTATTTTTGAGAGTTTTAATATGTTTGAATTTTACATCATTTAAAATATTGTCTGTACCTCTCCAATAATTTTGCATAAATGACATCCTTATTAATATATCCCTAAATTTTACATTTAATCTTAAATAAACATTTTATTAATCCATAATCACCACCAACATTTTTCTACTATCACCAGCACCCTCATGTATTCCCTTAGCAAACTTAAACAAAAATCACTAGGCAAATCAAACCCTTTACCTAAAGATTCCAATGCCACCATCTCAATAACTTTTCCAACTCCATACCCCAAATGAAAAAATCTGAATAAAAAGTAAAAATATTGTTTTAATTTTTTTCAGTAAATAACAAATTTTTCCAAAAAATTTTTAAAAATAATTTTTATAAATTTTAAAATAACTATTGTTTTTTTATCATCAATATTTTTTTTAAAAAAATATTATGATTTTGAAAAAATCAATTTTAAAATAAAATTAAATCAAAACTAATTATAAAATTTGATATGGATATAACCGGTTAATAACCGGTTTATAACCATTTTAAAAAATAAAAACCGGTTATTAGAATTGTTTTAATAACCAGTCGTAATATATGAATTATTTATGGTTATGGATTGATTTTGGACATTAACCATCCATGACCACCCCTACATAACATGCAAATAATTTTGATGAATATGATGATCTTAAAACCTCATACAAAGATGAAAAAGTTTAAAATCATTCTACCAAAAAAAGGTCAGCCCTAAAAAAATTAAGATAATCAACAAAATATATAGAGAATTTCAAAAGATATTTAAGTGACAATATATTTAATGGAATAGAAAATTAGGAAAAAATGAAAGATTAAAATGTATGTTATGAACAAATATGCATGAACATATTTGGTGAAATACATCAAATTTTTATTGATTGAAAATGGAGATTACAAGAGTTACTTATAGAACAAGCAAGTTCTATGATAACAACTCTCCACAAGCATTTATTGGATAAGTTTCACAACTAACTTCTAACTGTCATATCAGAAAGATGTTATGGTTGTTAACTCCTAAGTCCTCTACATTGCTTGTGTGTTAAGAAACCTTATCTTGTAACATCCTCCCACAAATTTATGGTTAATAAATGTCGAGCATCATCAACTTGGATATAAAACTATTGAAAGGTTGAGGTAGCAATGGCTTTGTACAAAAATCTAATAGTTGATCATTTGAAGAACATGACAATAACTTTGTTCCGGGGTGGGCCTCACCTCGGCAGGCCCAATACCAAATACGGCCCAACAGGCGAACTAAGCACACTTGGCACACGCCCCTTCGGACGAGCAGGACCGTCCGCCGGGCACAAGCCGTCACACCGCATCCCCTTTTGTCGCCCGTCACACCGGACGAGCAAGACTACCCGGGCTCCCTCCGCGGGAGAATAACATGCTCGGCGCACGTTCTCCACGTGCTCCCCTCCGCGGGGACACGTCATCGGCCAACCGCCCACCTCCGAAAGAGCAGGTCAAACCCACTTTTCGGAGACCTAGGAACGGTTGAACTAGGGCGAAGACCACGTCCTGGTCTTCACTACGCCACGTAAGCCCTAGCAGTCATTAGGGTTGGGCCAGGTCGTCTGGCCCACCTCGAATGACCGTTGGCCCAGCGCTGGGGTCTCTTTATAAATACCCTCTTCTTCAAGAGGGTCAGGTAACTCTTCTTGCCCCCTTTTCTGTACCATTGCTTCCTCTCTGTCCAACTTCTTACTTGGGCGTCGGAGTGCTTTGCAGGTACACCCCCCTTCTCGTTCTTACCTCGGCGAACAGATAACCGTCCAGCAAGGTGTGGCCAGTCCGTGATCCCTCCTGATCAGGTCAGATCAGTGGCGCCGTCTGTGGGAAACTGAAACTTCCCCGTTACTCCGAGCAGAAAAACCAAAAGTTTCACCAAACCTCCACGGTCATGGCCAGCCCACGCCGCGATGACACTCCGCACGATCTCGCGCTCAACACTGCCACCAACGGGAAGCAGGCAGGAACGGCGCGCCCGAATGAAGCCGACGAAAGAGACGGGCAAACTGCCTCACCATCGTCCGAGGAACGGCCCCTGCATGCCGACCATCGCGCCCCGAGCCCGCCGGCATTCCACCCCGTTCCCATCCCGGCGGGAGCGGACCCAACGGTAGCCGCCCTCTTTGCAGCCATCAACCAGACGAACCAGCTGCTGTCCCAACAGAACGCTAGGATTGGAGCATTAGAACGCGGCGGCTCCCCGAGGTACCCCCAGCGGGAAGACCAGAACGGAGGTTCGAGGAGCCCCTCACCTCGACCCAGGAACCGCCGACCACGGTTGGAGAGACGCCGCCCCCAAGCGACACGGGAGCGCACCAGATCCCCGGCAAGACACGGTCGCGGGAGGAACCAGAACGCCGCGGCGACCCCAACCGAGGAAACCCGAGGCGGGAACACAGGCCGGAGATCGAGAGCCCGAAACCCGGGACACACCGCGATTGGCTCATCTCCCCTGAGATCCCCGGCGCACAGCGACGAGGATGACTACCGCACCCCACTATCCCGGGAGATCATGGCCGCCCCTATACCCCAAGGAATGGAGAAGCCACCGACGCTGTCGACGTACGACGGCACCTCCGACCCGGACGATCATCTGGAAGACATCGAGGCTATGCTCGACTACCGCAATGTCCGGGGAGCTATCAAATGCAGACTCTTCCCGACGACTCTGAGGAAAGGCGCTATGACCTGGTACAAAAGCCTGGAGCCCGAATCAGTTACATCATGGAGGGTCTTGAAGGACCTATTCTCCAAACACTTCACAGCGTCCCGGCGTCACCCGAAGACGGAAGCAGTCCTCGGGGCGATCATCCAAGGCCCCGACGAACCCCTCCGGAAATACATCGAAAGGTTTACTCGGGAAGCCGTACAGGTGACGACTTCCGACGAAATGAAACGCTACTTAATGGAACAAGGCCTGCGCCATGACTCCAAATTCTACGAGGCCGTAGGCATACACCGGCCCACGTCCCTCCAAGACTTCCTCGACAGGGCCGCCCATTACATCCGGTTCGAGGAAACACAAGCGGCCAACTCCGCTCGCGACACCCGAGACAGAGAAGCCCCCCGCGGGCACCGAGACGACGGAGCTTCGAGCCATCGACGAGGAGGGGACCGCCGTCGGGATGACTGCCACCGCGAACCCCGCGAACAGCGCGAGTCACGCGGCCCGGCAGGAAGGTTCACCGAGTACACCGCCTTGGTCGCTTCACGCGAACGCATACTGGCCGAATGCGCTAAAACCGAGTTTGTGCAGGGAGGTGTCCGTTTTCCACGACCAACGCCGCCCAAACCCAACGTGGACAAGTCAAAGTACTGCCGGTTCCACAGGACCCACGGGCATGTAACGGAAGACTGCATCCATCTCAAAGATGCGATCGAAATCCTAATCAAAGATGGGCACTTGAAGCGATACACCCGGGGAGGTGAACCACCCAGGTCGGAGGCTCCGGAGGCAAAGAAAATCGAGGAGCTCCCCTCCCCAGAGGACGGCGAGAGACTCCAGGTCGCGCTGTGCGTCAGCCGCCCCGAGGATTGGTTCACAAGCAGAGGATTCGGCATCCCCGAAGCACCCAGCTTAGTCGGCGAGCCAATCCGACCAACCAGCCGATGGGAATACTTCCCCAGAGCCATGGTCATCTCTGATGGAGCTACGAGGAGTCTGTCCATAGGATCTGTGAAAAGGAAATTCGACGAACTCATCGCGGGCAACTCAGGCAAGATGAGCACGCTCGACAGATTCCGAGGCCGCTCCAACCCGATCACATTCTACCTCGAGGAACTACCCGGGGGATCTCCCAATTCCAACATACCCTTGCTCGTATGGGCACGTATGGCAAACTTCGACGTCAGGCGCCTCCTCGTCGACGGGGGGAGCTCGGTTGACATAATGTACTCACATTTGTTCACAACTCTCCAGCTCAACGAATCCAACCTCTCCCCCTACGTAGGCTCCGACCTCCAGGGGTTCAACGGGACGACGACAAGACCCTGGGGATACGTGGAACTGAAAGTCACCTTTGGGGAAGAGGAAACGGCCAGAGACATCAGCGTCCGCTTCTTAGTC